CAGAATCAGCAAAGCGTAGCACACAGGGAATCCGCAGTTTACAGCAGTCTTAAATCACAAGGCGACAGTAAACGCCTGAATCCAGTGCAAAATAAAGCAAGGGAAGTCGGCAGAGGTGTGATACTGAACTGACTTTTTATACTTACAGTGTAGGAGGAAGAGGCTAAAATAAAATCATTGACTAACAAGGGGCCATCCAGCCCCAAAGATACAAGTTCACTGAAAAGGAAATGTTCAGCAACATTGAATTTACAACTTCGTTGTGAGGGGTCACCCCCGCCCCACATCTGCCAAAGGCCACCCAAGCTCACAGTGCGAATATATACAACTCTGCAGGCTCGGTGGCGGTTCGTGCAGTGGCTCTCAGACACAGGGGCAAAGGCAGGACATCCCTGAGAATGACAGAACCTGACGCCAAGGGCACGGCTCTCTAATCTCATGAAGCTCGGCCGTTCCAGTGAAGCTCTAGTTACACCAGCTCAGACCACATCCTCACGTCCTACGTGGGCCTTTGTTTTTCTGCGTGGTTCCAAGGTGAGCGAGTTCATAGCCAATTTTAGGCCTCACCAGAAAACCTCACACCATGATTCAATACTAATTTCTAGAGATGCGGTGGCACAGATCGGATGGCCCGACAGAGCAGCTCCCCCTCAGATTTGAGATACGGGCCTGTTTTTCAGTGGGACAAGGTTTATTTCAGTGAGGGCTGAAGATTCCTGCCTCGGGCAAAACGACATGAGAAGCTGCAAAAATAACCACCGAGGAAAAATCAGCTCCAGAGCAGGCTTCACACTGTGACGTTCATTTGCTCGCTTTCAACGAGTCGCTCAGCAGGCTGCAAAGGAAGTCCCCGCGTTCATCCAGGAGGGCGGTGGGTCCTGTCTCGGACTCCATTCAGGTGCGATGCGACCCGAGGCACCCCCGTTTAGACTGCGGGTTTCTCCTTCTCGGCACGGCTAGCGCCCCGCTGACGGTCCCACGCAGCTCCTTCCTGGCATCGGCCTCACGAATGACGGGACTGCCAGCATCTCCCTA